ATTGGGTGCATCTGCGGGTAATTTAATGAATTCAAATACATGCTCAATGGAGTTTGAATCTGACGAGCCCGGGAATATCTGGGTGTATTTATGGAACCAATTTTCTGTCGTTTGGGCATAATTGGTTGGTGGGTTATCTTACTTTAACAAATAATTAACACCGATGAGCAGCGATAATAATTAGGTTCAATAATTAGGTAAGAAAAATCTGTGTTAAGACAGACTCCGGATTCACTATTAGTCTTTGCGAGTTCCATCTGAACACTCACAAAGTTAGAGAGCCACTCCAGTTTGCACAACAGCCTGCTGACTGTCTGGATCGATTGTCTAATGTCGTCCCTTCCATACACGAACTTGAGAGTCTGACCGAAAATGTTGTTGTCATCTGAATATAGACGATACCAGGGCCAGTCTTCCAAAAACTAAAAAGTTAAAGTAAACCATTTTCTTGCCCCAATAATCTTTTCATAACTGTCCGTGTTCCATGTTTGCCATAACTAAACTACTTCTTTACCTATTACGCCAAACATAATGTGTTGAGTACATCTCTACAAGTTGGGCAGCAGAAACCATCCAATTTATTGCTGTCTCTAAATTCCCCACATTTAAGATGAAGAAAAATAAATAAATAAAACCCACTTTATGCCTCATTCATTATTTATCACAACATTCACCGATGCCGAACTGAAGTAAAAATATAAATATATATGCGTGTGTGTATGTTGGGGAGGTAACAAATATATGCTTATCTCTGTGTATTTGTGAGGTACGTGTGTATTTATGTGTTTATACATATGCATGTATTTATATATGTGCGAATATGGTATTGCCGAAGGAAGCTCAAAATGTCAATGATAAAATCTTATGTAAAATATTTCATGCCTCATTCTAGATTTGTAAAAATGATTTACGACTAAAAATTTCCAACTTTTCGCCTTGTAGAGATTCTGCAAAAGATAAAGAGAAAAAAAAACATCTTCAAGAAAAAGCAATGTCCAGAAAGGAAAGGCTCAACTTTAAACTCTTTCCAATCCAATGATGCAATCAAATATCAACATTATGCGAACCTTTCCTGTATGGTTGGACAAAATATTTAATTCATAAAAATGCAGAGCCTCCAGTGATCCATTTTTTGGTATTGTGGACATTTTTGGAATTACTTAGCAGACAAGACAGATTGCATGAAGCAGATGAAGAAATAGTTTAAAGATGTCTTGAGATTATGCTAAATATGGAAGGACATTACATCGCCATGAACGTTTGCTGCATCGCAAGAAGACAGTAGGTATTACGCAGGAAAACTACTGGTCGACTTGCTCCGAAAAAGGTCTTATTTTTCCGATGTTTCATTCAAACGAGCCAATTGCTCACTTTAGTTCAAACTTCGTGTATTTAAATTCCTTTTTAAATTCCACTAAATATAGAAATATTTTCTTAGTAGATTCCCTTGCACTTCAGATATCTAGGAGTCTCGTGGACTTAGATACAATTTTCTTTCTTTTGCTTCCATATAATACGTCCATTTCCATTTTCTGTATCAAACAAGAGAAGGGCACGTTTTTAAACACGAGAAGGTATTTTCCCTTTAAGTTCATGTGGAACACATTGTCTCATTTGTAAATATTTGTTAAAACTTGTAAAGGACATTTGACAAAGTAAATTTGACTGACCGCACAAAAAGTGACACTTCTAAGATTTCCTTAACATACAACACTGAGAACTTTTGCATCAAACAAATAATATCAAGTACGTTGTAAAAATCAAAAGCTTTATACATTATCGTATTGCACAGCGTTCTCGATACGTTCTTCCCTTTCTATCCGTAGTTAATATGAAATGAAGATATGAATAATGTCCAATCCTTATAACACCGTGACCTCTTAAAGGCCCCACCCCTTAGAACGTTGGTTGTAATACAATCACCCGGACACACGAAGCTATTTATTCAATTTCATATTTCCTCTTACCATATTAACTCTGAAAATGTCATAGTTTGTTGTCACGTCTAGTAGTTTTCTTTGTTTAGCTAACCTGATACTTTCCACATGCGAGTCACAAACTAATGCCACCTCATAAAACAGGCATACATTAGTAGTGTGGGATTATTCAACATATAACTGCTAATAGAATTTCAGTCATCGGGGAATATATTTACGCTTCAGCCTGTTCAATTGTCTATTCTTTTCAACACAGATGTTTTTGTGTATATAAAGACAGTGAAAAGACACATCCACACATCTTGGGAACTCTTAAATAGCTCTTTCGTATGAAGAATAATTACAATACTTTCTTTCTAACATTTTCCACTTAGATGTCACGGGAACTCTAACCTTTGCGAATTATGTTGTATAAAACTTTGTAGATTTGTGTCAATAAAATGCTTATTGCTATTGTTCAACCTGTTGGTTCATATTTTCTATTATTAATAAGGAAATAAAATGGCGAATCCGATGTTAAAAAAAAAAGTAAATAAGCATGGCATAGAACAAACTACTGAATATAACAATGGCTATGGTATTATTTCATTGATATTTTCTGGTGTATGACGATTTAACTATGTTAGTGATATTATTGCTTTCTCTTTATTTCGAAAACCCATTAAAATTTGTTTGGGGGGGGTAGTGGTAAGTTGAATTTATTTTGGTGAAAATCATGGCTGAATATAAAATGCTCATTCGGTACTGTTTATTCGTTATGGGAATACTACAGTGGAAACTCGCCGGTGAATAATTTACACTCTGTCCCTGCCTTTGCGTTATGTATAATGAAATGTTTGTCAAAACAGTGAAGATTGGGGAATTGGAGAAACTTTTAAAGAAAGATGCAACACAAACAACATATGAACGTGCATCAAACATTATAGATGAACTGATCAACTGTAGATCTTCATTTACAAGCGTTAGGACAATTTCCGAAACTAACAGAATGGGTTCCACGTTAATTTGTAGAACCAAACATCACTGAACACTTGACTTCTTATTGCTCAACAAAGAAAATAAGTTCGCACTATCAATGAAAAATGAATTTATTACAAAATTCCCAAACAATAAGAATTAAAGAGAATATAAATAGATTAAATAAAGGAAATCATGTTTAGATACAAAACAACTTTGAAAATTTCAAATGAAATAGAATCTATCTTGAAAAATTTAATTTTAGTGTTAAATAGAATTCAGAGGAATTCTTTCTTGCGAATTCTTAGAACTTGAACAAAATGCTTTGGTCAGGGATTCTACCATTTTGAAGATTTCAAACAATTCCTCGATAAATTAATCAATAAAAAAACTGGAACCGTTCTTTTATAGGGAAACATTCCACTTATTTAAAAGTCATGGGAAAAGCTTTTATTCACAAATAAAAGATTTTAACAAAAATATGTTGAAAACCTTTGCATCAACTTAATATATTTTATCAACAAAAACGCCTTCTTAATTAGTAACAAATATTTCACAAATTTCTTTCTAAAAGACTCTCAAGATGATCAATTCTTAAAAAATGATTGCCTAAGTTGGGCTGTTATAAAGTTGGCGTTTGATGTTAGAATTCGTAATTGATTTCTAGCGGTCGGAAAATATATGTATTGTTGTATCCGAAAAATGCTATTACAAATGAGTTATTGTTTTTGGAGCGTGCAGTAGCAACGCTGAGTTTGATTTTAAATTTTACAATTGTGCGTTCTTGTACAAATATGGTGATAAGTGAATTCTTTTTTACTGGTAAATTTTCTGTCAAAGTGGCATGAACTATATTGTTCAATAATTACAGTAATGTCGCACTTATTATCCATTCTTATTTTCGGATACAACAATACATATATTTTCGTTGTCCTCTTATTACTGAGAGTAAAAACAAGAACAACATCTATTCCATACCTGAAGATGTCTGTAGGAACAGACGAAAGCTTGTAGTAAAAATAAGAACTAATGCAACAGAAATTTATAAAAACAAGGATCTTTTGATTCATAAACAGGTTCGGGGTTTTTGTATATTATTTGAATTGTTTGCGACGATGGATTTCTCGCCAATTAAATCATTAACCTTTGTATTTGTGTTTTGTATGAATAATTCATGAATTTGTAAATTAATTGCACCTTTATTGAAATTAAATATATATATATATATATATATATATATATATATATATATATATATATATATATATATATATATAAAAAGTGAACATTGACGTCAACACTCAGAGGCAACAGACTGCTTCATGGTAAACAAATTTATCAGGCCACCTGAAACAGTTTGTCGCTTCTGAGTGTTGACTTCAATGTTAACTTTATATTTGCATACGCTCTATCTCTGATATTGAGCTCTTTATCCCATAAATATAGCACACCTTAAAACTATATTTCTTTCATATATATATATATATATATATATATATATATATATCACACAAACTTTCATAACTGAATCAATAAGCTGTCATATCCTCATACGTCGAAACCGACGGGAGAGTCCATTATATATATCACAGGTGGTAACTTTATTAGGTATATTTTTCTCGTTCCGTGTTTGACTCTCTTTTACCTTTAGAACCTTTCTCTTTTGACTTCAACAAGGGATGTCCGTCCATAGAATTATTAATGAAATTGTGTGAAAGAAAAGCAAAGAAAGATCAGAAAATAGAGAAACTAGATAGACACAATTTTCAGTTTATTAAAAAACGTCGTTTGTTTTTTACATGAGAAATATTCCTTAAGAAATCATCTTCCAAATCTGTTACGAGATCAGCGTGTAGAATCTATTCGTTTGTTTAAAGACACTTGAAACATTCCAAAAGAAAGTTAACACTTGCCATGTTTTAACGCTGACAAAGATAAACATTTATTCATAAAACATTTTCAATTGACAATGTGTACTGTGTCAATTACTTTCTAGTATTTTCAATTGACAATGTGTACTGTATCAATTACTTTCTAATATTTTCAATTGACAATGTGTGCTGTGTCAATTACTTTCTAATATTTTCCAATATTTTTGTTTTTCAGGTTGAAAGTAAACGCTTAAATCTTCTCGAATCAAAAAGTTACATCACCTATCATCATGCAGAGGATATGAACTCAAGGTTCCACGAATTTAATCTTCAAACAATATTGTCTTTGGATATCTTCAAGGTTTTATATTGATATGAATTATTTTCATGGAATTACACGGATTTCCTCAACTCATCTTGAGAGCAACGTATTGTCTCATTCCAAGTAAATACTTTTGTCGAATTCAGTCAAAAGCAAAATTTCTACGGATTTTACAAAACAAATAAAAAGTAGATACAAAATAAATACATAAAAACTATCGAAGTTACTTTTAAAAATTCTTTTTATCTCATCGTTCGTATTACAAATCGTCCAATTTCGAAGAGAAACACTCAATACAATGTCGAATCTTAACTGCAGTGAACAGTGTATACTGGAAACAAAAAATACCGAAAAATTTGAATTATATCTTCCAGTAATTGTGTTTATTGGTTGTACCTTTGCCATAGGTACATTTGGTAACTTAATAGTGCTAATAGTCTATTGCCAGAAGACACGAAAGACTTCATCACATTTTTTCATCCTCACTTTAGCGGTTCTAGATTTATTTGGATGCTTTTTTGGCATGCCAACGGAAATAGCCGATTTGCGGAATCCTTACCTTTTTGATGCGCCAGCCGCTTGTCGTCTTCTACGCTTTACGCTCGGCATTACTACAATTAGCTCAGCTATTGTCCTCGTCGAGGTTGCTTTCGATCGCTATTATCGCATCTGCCGTGTTGGACTTCAATATACATTACGCAAAACAAAATATCTTTGCATTGTGGCAGTTGTTATTGGTTTACTTCTGTCGTGGCCGGCATGTGTTCTGTTTGGAAAGAAACGCGTCGAAGTGATGCCTGGAATTTACGGTTCGGATTGTTCTACCGACGACAGTGTTGACAAGAAATACCCAACCATATATTTCGGCATTCTGCTAGTGCTTTTTGTCCTTTGTGCGACTATTATCTTCGTACTCTACGTCAAACTTTCTATGGAAGTTCGCCGTCGCAAAGACCTTCAGTTGCATTTTAAACCCACCCTAGGAGTAATACAACCACAGCAACAACTTCAAAATTGTGTGAACATTCCATTGCAAGCCGATTCGGAGGAGCAAAGTAGAGATCTGTCAGACGAAACCCCGGATGTAAACAAACGCCGGAAATGCAGCTCAGTTCCCACAAAAGTACAACGTCAAGGACAACAGATTCATGCTGGACGTACAACGGCAATGTTGTTCGCTGTTTCTGTCATTTTTGTTGTCAGTTATTTGCCATTCCTGATTGTGATGGTGGTGCGGCACATATGGACTGAATTTGAGTCAATCCTGACTCCTGGCCAAGAACTACTTTACAAATTTTGTCTCAAGTCGTACTTCTTAAACAATGCCGTCAATCCCATAATCTACAGCTTCATGAATATCAATTTTCGCCGCGAGATACCGCGTTCCTTATCCAGTTGCTTTAGAAAATGTTCACGGTAACATTAAGGAACATTCAAAAATGAAAGAAAATTGTAAAGCTGAAGAGAATAAAATACTGTTCCATTAAAGGATGACCCCGAGTGCCTGTACGTGTGTGTGTGTGTGTGCTTTGTGAGAGTTATATGTCGTAAGTGAAATAAAATGATAGCATAAATGATAATTCACGTGAAAGTAAGAAAAAAATTTTTTAAATGAAATTAGTAGATTAAAAACTTTATGAATGGCAATTCAGCCGTTTTCTTCTTAGCCTGTTTTTAGGCTTTTTCCTCCAAAATTTGAAGTGATTTGACACGTTACTTCTCTGGGTCATTCCTAAGATCGCTCAAAACAGAAACATTGGAGAAGCCAACATTATAGTAAATGTACAACAAATGTCTATTTTATACAATTTCTATTTCAATTTCTGATATAAAAATTACCATTATTATACGCTAAATTATTCGAACTGATTTATAGTCAAAGGGTTTTAAGCGTTCTACACTCCGGGCGTCTTCATTTGCCTGTTGTATTCGGTAATTCTCTCGGAATTTTGAACAGAACCCGTTATTTAATAAACGTGGGTAGACTGTTCCCATTCCGTTTTCCATATTAGGATCGTGTTGCTATTAGTTATTACTTATTTCCGTCCTTGTAATGTCGCTTCTATTCGCTTCACTGAATCAGATTAGATTTTACTACCTGATCCAGAGATTGAACTCTCGACCACCAATTGCAACATTTAACCAATTGTTATATATATATATTAAGCCATTGCCCTCAGGTCATGGTTATGTAATTTTGGACTCTAAAACTAAGTGTCACTTCTTTCTTGACCAATAGTGTTCAATCTTATACTAGGCCTACTGAGCAGATTATCGCAGTCCAGCATCTACATTGATTCTTTCACTTGCTTTATTCTCCAGTATTATTACTGAATATGACAGACACCTGAAGAATTCGGGAGAGTACAAAGGCCTAAACATTGTGGCTATAACAAACAAGATGAAGACAAGAATTCGAACAGATAAGTGTATAATAATGTTTTACATAAATTATAAAACTTTATTAATAAACTGACTACTAAAGTATATGTTAAGTGAAAACTTGGAAATTTGATATACATTTAAATATACGAACACCTTTTAATATTTAGTACAAAATCTTGATATATATTTATGTGGAAAATTGACTGAATTTCTAAATAAAACAACAACACCTTGAAAAGAAATGTGTAGATATATCCAAATGTTGCCTACAATTAAAGTTTTCACGTTGCTTCCTATTAAAAATAAAGCATAAGTGGCAAATTCTTCGATGTAAAAAAGAAAAAAGAAAAAGACAAACCAAAAAACAAAAAAAAATGTTCTCTCGACGCTGGGATTTGTTATTTATAACGTCTTGGAAATTCCTGTAAAAATAATGCTCAAAACATTGTAAAAAGATCTGTTCATCCCAAAAGCACAAATAAAAGCAATTAAATAAGCAATTCATAAAAAATTCAATAATCAGCATGAAAGTAACATTTTAATTACTTCAATCTTTTAAGATATTCATTTGTAAATAGCGTGCTGCCTATAATTTCTTTTTCATTTTTTATATTTCATTATTTCTAGATTACATTATATTAATAATCGAATTATGCCGAATTGATTTCATCGATGTGTAACAATATTTATTGATGTCATTCAATAATAATAAACTCTTTGTTAATTACTTGATGTAATTAAATGAATTTATTTTTCGTTTTTCTTCCATTCTTCGTTTTATGCCGCTTTCAACATGTCTCGTTTTGCTGGCAGAATATTTGAAACTGTTGTGAATAATATCTGATTTTAGAAGTGTTGAAATGACAGCGTTTTACCAGAAAACTGCCTACCTTAATGAATTTTATTGTAACGTTATTTCGAATTGAAACTTTTAATAGATATATAGTTGATAGATATATATGTTGATATGTTGTTTTACAGAATTAAACTAAATATAATAAATGCAATAATTTAAATAAATAAATATATATATATATATATATATATATATATATACACACATACGTAGGTAGGTACCTTCAAACATTGGATAAAAAAATGCATCAATCTTAATAAAAACAAAGTTTTATCATCAAAATCTTCACGTTATTATTAAGAGTAAAGACCAAAGGATTTTTATTGCATATTTTTAATCTTTTTTAGAACTTCAAAGTTTTTGTTGAAAATTGTTTTCCTTGCGTCAACGGCTGACCATAAATTAGTATAGGAAATTTTAGTGTTTTTTCTTTTTTTGCAGTGAAAAATACATTGATTTGAAAATTCATGGAAAAATCAGATAATTGCTGGATTTTAATGAAATATTCAGGACTTATTCACCAATGAATTAAATTATTTTTGAAACCTTTCTTTTGGAAAAAATCTTGGTAAAAATATACTATTTTTTACATCTGTTGTTTCTGCCCTCACATACACACACACACTTATTTAATCTTATGAAATTTCGAAGAATTCATTTTTGTAGAGCTTAATGTTTATATTAGTTATAAGCACAAGTCTTTGTTTATTAAGCAGAACCCCAGTTAAAGAAAATCAGCTCTAAATCGTAAAATAAGAAAATGCAATAAAAATAAAATATTAGTCAATTAGAAAAGCTTTTAATTGTTTTTTATAAGATATATTATGAACACTATTGTCTTAAGAGAAACATCTTTCGAAGAATAATGAATTTTTACAGGAATTGTTTTCATTTTTTAAAATTTTAATTATAATTTATAGTTTTAAATCTTTCACACTTCTGTATTAATTTGTAGCGGTTAGGTGATATTGTTATAAATATATTACTAATCATTCTGGATCTAACCGCTTCTGGGGCATTGATCACTCAGCAGGATCGTCTGGAGTTGTCAGGGTCTCGGATGTTAATCCCTCTGAAATGTCTGATGGAGGTGCAATGGAAGCTGTGTCATCATCCTGGGGTAATGTATCTAGAGTGATTCCGGCACGGTGATCTCCCGATTGGTTTTCAGTGTCGAAGAGATCAGATAACCTCACTAAGGTGGTTTTAGGATCTGGTATTTAGGATCTCCAGCACAAGCCAGATCTCTAAGAAAGACGGTAGTTTGCCTTCCATCAAAAGAGTGCGTATTGTGGGTTTGCTTCTGTTAGTCCTACCTCGTCTACCAGGGTGGGGGTCATGTTTTGTATAGTGAATGTGGAGTCTCAGTAGAATCGTACCTGGTTGAAAGAGAGCCAAGTGGGACGCGAAGTCCCAGCCAAACTCCGTCGTTGGAAGGGTAGAAATCTTTGAGCATTTGTGTGTTGAAGCAGCCACTTGATTTGTTTTCTAAATTAAGCCCTTATATCACTCGCATTGACGGTTACCCTGGGGGTTGTACGGGGTAGTCCGAGTTACCACCATTCTGCGTTCTTGTAAGAATTACCGAAGATGCTTGGACATGAAGGAAGCTCCTCGGTCTGGATGTATGTATGCCGGTACTCGAAAGACGGCAAATAAGGAACAAAACCATTGTATAATTGTTGTTGTAGTCATATCTGGGCAGGGAAAAACAAAAGGAAACCGTAAATATTCGTCTACAATAGTTAGCATGTATCGGTTTCGTTGATTTGGATGGTAACGCGCCTTTAAAGTCCAG